TTGTTTTTATATTTTTCAATATATTTATTTTGTTTGTACAAAATAAGAAATAAGTTTTAACGATGCAATAGCCATGTTTATTATTTTTAAAAATTTACATTAGGCTTAACATCGACAAAAATTCAATGTGAAGCGACATGCAACAGAGAAAAATTTCAACATGGGATAGGTTAATATATTTTTTCATACATAATCAGTTATCTGAACAACCCCTGCCCTGCCTTTGCTTTACTTATTTAAGTGTCTTTTTTTTTCTGTCCTTCTAAAATTTGGCAACTCTAGTCTTGTGCAGTGCCTGCTGACATATAACCATCATGAAAAACAATGTGTTGATGTATAGTCTTGTTGGGCTGCAATTTGAAAAATTGTAGACCTATAAATTCACATCATTGTCTGTCCTTCCTTAATCTCGAGAATGAAGTTAGATAGATGAAAGCCGAAACAGATATGGAAAGCTTAGAGTCAAGAGGTCCCAATTAACTATATACAAACTTCTGCTGCAAACTGGATGTCGCATTTTATTTTTTAATTGTCTACTCGGACATTACTCATTAGTAGGACGTTAAACTGGTGTTTAATATTTGATACAAAAATGACAGTTAGATCAGAAAAAACAAAATTTTTATTAAAATTCACCTGTAATAGTAATTTTTTCTGTACACATATACATATACGTGTTTCGGGCTAACATACCCCTCATCAGCAGTATTACCAAAAACAGCTAAAAATAATTAAATAAATAAATAAGATATTGTGTATAATAAATACCCGACAATAAAATTATTTTTAAAAAACTTACAGTAAGAACGTATCCTAATACCTTGTAGAAAAGGGTTATATTTCCAAAATTAACAATTGCCAATTTACGTAAATTCATTTTTCTGTATAAAGCAAAATTACAATAAATTAATAAACTTTTTAAGAAAGATTACAATATCATCCCAATAAATTCCAACTTACATCATAATTCTATTCACCATTAACTTACAACATTGATGTCAATCATTTATACCATTTGATGTTGTAAGTTAATGGTGAATGGAATTATGATGTAAGCTGGAATTTATTGGGATGAAATTGTAATCTTTCTTAAAAAGTTTATTAATTTATTGTAATTTTGCTTTATACAGAAAAATGAATTTATGTAAATTGGCAATTGTTAATTTTGGAAATATAACCCTTTTCACCCCAGTGCTGAAAGTAGAACAGTTCCTATATTTTATAACCCTTTTCTTCAAGGTATTAGGATACGTTCTTACTGTAAGTTTTTAAAAATTATTTTATTGTCAGGTATTTATTATTCACAATATCTTATTTATTTATTTAATTATTTTTAGCTGTTTTTGGTAATACTGCTGATGAGGGGTATGTTAGCTCAAAACACATATATGTATATGTGTACAGAAAAAATTACTATTACAGGTGAATTTTAATAAAAATTTTGTTTTTTCTGATCTAACTATCATTTTTGTATCAAATATTAAACACCAGTGTAACGTCCTAGTAATGAGCAATGTCTGAATAGACAATTAAAAAATAAATTTAGAAATAAGGACAGTAAGGCATTGTAAATCGGATGTCATATTATTTCAATTCAAAAATTTTCCCGAAAGGTGTTAGACAAACGAGTGGCACAATTCTATTGTTAAAGGAAAAGTATGATGTACAGGAGCAAGCCACTAGTTTGAGATGGAGAGCATATATTTTAAATTAAATTAATTAAAAATATGATTAAAAATTGCAGCCTGGCATTCTTATGATGTCACAATAAATAATTGCTCATTATACATTATGTTACTTAATATTTCCAAGAAACTATCTACACGAGGACTTGCTATAAATTACACTAAATTAATAAGACAATACTAAATATTTAAAAATTTAATAAATAAATAATACATATATACATCAATACAATTGTAAAGAGAAATTAAAAGTTTTATTTAAGTAATCAAAATGTAATCATAAATAAGACCCAATAAAAGTTATCAATATTTACTTGCTTATCAATAATATATGATCTATATCATTTCCATAAAAATTAAAAGTGTTTCTCACATTTTAACAGACTAATTATCTACAATCACGTAAAAATGATGCTGTGATTGACTTGTTGGTCATGCTTGATCTAAAGTATATGATCCAACTAATCATAGTAAAAATAAAATAATTTTGAATTTAAGTTTGATGTTTTGACCTTCTTTGTCGCTTTACATGTACATAGTTGGATATGTGATCAGTTGTTTTGATGAAATACCCGTCAACAGTTTAGTCAGACTTACCGCGATAAGATTGATCGAAGAAATGTAATAATGAGGATCAGCGGAAATCGATCATGGATCTTTATAGTAGTACATTCAGAAATCCACTATTCAGTTCTAGACAAATAATCTACACTGAAATCCATTTCAGTCATAGAAATTCTCGAAGGAAATTAATTAATATCTGTAACGATGTATTAAATCCTCTTCTATCTTTAACTTATAAGTACTTGATCCATGAGTATTGTTAGTTTAATAAAAGATAATAGTTCTAGAATAATATTTCATTCTAGGATTATTATGATGCGTTATTTGTGTGTTCGTAAATATAATAATGTTAATTTAATGTATTGCCAATCCATACATAATGGAAAGTTAAAATTAGCGAAAAATTATACAAAATTTTCAGATTTATATAAACAAAATAGTTAGCTTTTTTAAATCGACAAAGTTCAGAGCAAGATCAATATTTGTTTGTACGAACGAAAAGCTATTAAAAGTTCAAAAGACATCAATTGAATTAATGTATACTGAATGTCCTAAACGATTTTGAAAAAAAAAAAATCATTTAAAACATGAAAAATTACATTAAGTTAATTATTTTATTGCTTATTAATTTAAGAAATTTACTTTCAAAACCTACTTGAACATAATAAAGTACTCCTGTATAGCTTTTATGAAGAGTGGTATAAAAGTTAGTTAACTGAAATATATTATTCATAAAACAGATAGATATTTAGATAGATTGTAAAAAGATTCTTAATAGAATTTTTACTATTTTAAAAATATCTTAAAAATACATCTTGATTGTTGACTTTGTTTACTTTGTGTAAGAAAAATTCATACCTTTAATATTAAGTTAAGAGATTAAATATATCTAAGACCGCATCTTTCTTCGATTCGATTTCTGTTTAAACTATATTTTTGGTTCATTTGGTTTATAATTTATTTTATTATCTATACATCATGTACTAGGAATCAACTTTTCAGATTATTTATTATTACCGTCTTTCCTCGTTTTCTCTATTCAAAATATCTTGTTTTATAAAATTTTTGATTAGTTTTAAATTATATAATGGAAACATCATTTGAAAATTGTATATAATGTATATAAGTTTTGTTATCAAATAACATTTTCAAGTAAACAATTTTTTTACATAGAAATTTTAAATGATATTATCATTTGTATTTTCATTATGTAATATTTCTTAGACTAAATTAATTTTTCATACAAGAGTACTTATGATGAGACTCGTGTACGTTGATCTTAAAGATAATTATTTTTAAATTATAAAAAACAAAATAACTAATGTAAGCTTTTTCATATGTAAAAAGTTATTGAAATTTAAGTTTACAAAAATATTCCTAATAAACATGGGTATTCGCAGAGGGAGTAAACGGAGCATTTGCCCCCNCTTAAACAAAGGAAAAGTACGTCCTTTATGAAGGCATAGAGCCTTTACTACATAAAAATGAAAATTAATGAATACACTGTGTACAGTAATTTACCTGATAAGACAGACCTCAGAAATATACTTTATGACAGCTTTTATACTTTTATAAAGCTGTCTATAATGAAAATGAATTAACTAAGGATTTTTTTGCCCTGCCAGGGTGTGGCCGAGTTATCCGGAGTGCCGGGTTATCGAGAGCCGAGTTTTCGAGGTTCTACTGTACAAATAATTCAAATTTATTTCAATTATTAAATGTTACATTAAATATGATAATTTTATTTTGAAATTCCTTAAACTTATTTTTACTTTATTGTTTTATTTTAACTTACCAAATTATTATCATTTCCACTGCCTACTACATCTTCTAGAGTCACAAAGAACTTTAATGTGTCATTTCTCTACAAAAATGAAAATAATTATACAAATCAATATGCAATTTACCATAATAAAGCAGAAATTACTTTAAAATTAACCAATTCATTGAAATTAGTACTATTTATATGTGTTTCAGTTATCTTTGCTGATCGGTTATATAAAACTTTAAAGTTACAAATCTTCAGGTTCTTAAACTTAAGCTTTATAGAGAGTTGATTAAATCTATATGAAAATTTAATAAGTAATCTTGAAGGTATTTAAGAATATTTTGAGAATTTAATAATTAAACCTTTGAAATTTTTATTATTATTTTCTTATGTTCTAATAAACTTAGAAATTTAGCCAATGACTTAGAGAAATTTCAACATTTTAAAAATTTCAGAAATGTCCTCAATAATGCATGACAAAATTTCTTGTAAAGTGATTTATAATGTTTATTTTTTATTTTGTTTTTTTGTTTTCAAAATAACTTTATTTTTATTATCTTCTTTCTTTCACCAACTAATTTTAAAATTTAAATAGAAATTTATCACAATAGAAGTCATTATAATTATTAACATTTTTAAATTTTTATTTTGAACTGGAGTATTTAAGACTGTGTGATGCTGATAGGGATAACCTCATTTCTCAAAAGAAAAAAAGAGAATAATAATTGTTATCATATCATGGTATCTGTAACTACAGTTTGTGTCATCCAGATGGTTTTAATGGATATATGTAACTTTTAAGTTATTTTAACATAATATAAGTTGGATATAGAAAATGAATGTAGCATTATCATCATACACTTAATTAAAACAATTAAAAATTGTTTTTGTTAATATTCTTATAAAGAATTTATTTCTCCAAATTTCTTAAACACACAGCTATCTTTCTTTCTGAGATCAAGATGTAAACATTTTCATTAAACTGTAAAGATTTTTTGATTTTCCAGCCCATTCTCGAAGTATTTTTACAACTTGATCTGCAAAAAAGCAAATAGCTGTATATGAAATTAATAAATCCAAAACAAGTAAGGAATGAATCTGTTACATCTAACAATCTATTCTAAATTTTTTATAACAATAATTTTAAATTAGAAGTACTAAATCTAAATCATTTTTAATTGAAAATCTATGAGAACTTATCAAAACTATCTAGGACGGAATTTTTTATAGAGAAACTACTAATAGTAGCAATGCAACAACCATGGAGGAGATTTGACTATAACTCCTGATGCCATGTGCCAGAGTAGTGAGCACAGCTCAATTGTCAAAATAGAGTAGTGGCAGCACAACTCATTTGTCAGTGGATTGAGCAACAGTGCAGATATGTGTTTCCCTCTGTCATGTTGTAAAATGGACAAGTTGAACAGTGCATTTGCATTAATTTTTGCTGGAAACTTGGTCAGATGGTCACCAAAATGTATGAAATGTTTCCACAAACATTCAGAAACAGCACTTAGTTGGTTCAAACATTTAAACAGTATTCATTTATCAAAAATGGCTGCACATCAACTGATGATGACTTACACACAGGCTGATCAATGGCATGAGACTGTTGATGTAGACTGTAGACAATCTGATAATCAATGAGATTGATCTACAGAACTGTTCTGCAGTGCCTCAGAGTTGCAAGTTGTTAGAAATGCCCTTACAAATGTTCTTCTGGTAACTTGTTTCTGCACCATGACAATGCCCTATGCTACCCAGTCCTGAGTGTCACAGAATTTTTGGCTAAGCACAGCATCTTTGTATTTCTCCACCCACATTACTCACCAGATTTGGCCCCCTGTGACTTCTTCCTCTTTCCAGGCTCAAAAGCACTCTGAAGGAAAAAAAATATCAGATGTCACAGAGATTCAACTGAATGTAACACAACAGTGATGGGGCATTCCCAAACAAGTCTTCAGACATGCATGGAAATGTGGAGAGCTCTCTAGAATCATTGCATACAGTGAATACTAATTATTTTGGTTTCCTACTGTTAATTCTGTCCTGGATGTTTTTGATCAGCCCTTGTATTTATTCTATATATATCTATTAAGTAAAAAAATTTATAATTGAAGTAAATTAAACAATTGTAATTTGTTAATTCAAATAATTTTTATAATATATGCAATAACATTAGTCATTTATTTGTATGTTTCTAAATTCATGTTTGTTAAGTTTCATTAATGCTCTATAATTTCAATAAATAATGCATTATTTAATTTTTTTAACATTAATGCTTGATATGGCACTTGTTGAAAACGAGGAACATTATCATTTTCATCTAAAATTATAATTGTTACTGGTACTCGAACCTATAAATAAATCAATCATTTCATGTTTATAAAATTGATATGCATTCATTACATTATTTGATAAACTAAATATTTTTTAATATATACTATAAATTATTTCAAAGATAAGGATGTTCAAGTATTACATTAGCAAAAATTTATCCTTTTTTCTTTAATCCCATGCCACATCATCTCCAGTCATCAGAAATCAAGATACCCATTCTCCTGTAATCATGTCATCAGGCATAAGTTTAAACCATTCACAAATTTTACATCTCAAAGACTCACCTTCTTTCCCTCATCACCTGCAATCATCAGATATAAACTAATTCCACCTTTCCCATAAACTGATGACATAACACTTGAATGATTCTTATACAGACTCAAAACTTTCATTAAAATAAGTGTAACAAATTAAATAAGTATATAAATAAATAAGTATTAAATAAGTATTAAAAATTTAGCTAAGCATTTTAATCACTTCTAAATGTAAAATGATAAAATAAAACTCATAATAATGTTTTAGAAAACAGATAAAATCCTTTCTATTGATCAGTAATAAATTATATTTATACTAATTTAAATTTAGTATATAAAATATATAAAGTACTGGGTTTGGACATCATGCCAACAGTTATCTCAATCAAAACTTCTTCCAAAACTTCAGACTATGAGGCGTTAAATATAATTAAAAATATTTTAATCTTGCGAGCGCTTTCGACGTAAATATGCATGTCGTCTTCAGGCAATACAAAATCGAATAGAGAATTTGAACCGTACATTTAAATTTAAACATTAACGATTTTAGCCGTTTTTTTAAATATAACTATTACAAATAAGACTTAAATTTTAGAATTAAAAACATTTAAAATTGGTACGCATGCGTTTTAAANACTATATACAAATTTATTTTGAATTATTTATTTATTTATACAAATTTATTGATTGATTATTTTGAATTTAATAATTATAAATAATCATCTTTTCAGATTTATATTAAGTTAATTACTATAAATTTTGAATGAATGTTAATTGCAGTAGAAAATACGGAAATTCTAGTAAAAATAAAATTTCCTTGTCTAGCTTCCTTGAGAGTATTGAGGCAGTACTTTATTTTTATTTTTTAATACTTTAAAATATTCTAGACATTTTCATATTACTTGTATATTTGTACATAGGCCATATTACTTGTAAAAAAAATTATTAAATGAATTAGATATAACGAAATTAAATGCTTTTCACTAATTTATGAAATTATACTGCATTTTATATTACTAATCATATTTTTATTTCGTTCTGTCAAAGTTTTCTCCCGCGAAAAATATGTTGATTTCACTAAATAAAAAAATCATTTTATTGTTTATGTTTTGATCTAATTGTAATAAAATATCATTTGTAAAAGTGATTAACTGATTAAAATCGTTACATATCTTATACAAGAAATATAACTGATATTTTGTCCTACCGAGTATAACTAAAAATATACTTCCGTTTTGAACTAGTTTCTTTGTTATCAGTACAGAATTCATTAATAAAACTTTACTAAATGTTTTAAAAAGTATATATAGAGTATACTACGCATAAATACAATTGTAATTAATATTTATATATTATTTCTATTATTTAATATTATAATAATTTAAAAGCATATTTTAAAATTATTACTTACCTACAACAATAAATAGAAATATGAATGAAGTGATAAGAAAGTTCACCTTGAACATCTTCCTAAATAAAACATAATTTTTATATGTTAGTAATTAAACTATTCTAACGAAAAACCATTAAATTCTATAGTATGTTATTTAATGCTTTTTTTCTGTTTTAATTGTGAAATCATATAAATGACAAGAAAAAAAATCCAATTTCTTTAGTCTGAAATTTATAAGAAAAATAGCGCACGATTCTTAATCGCTAAAATGAAAGTAAAAATCGTATTATTGCTATTTTTTTCGATTTGTGATATTTTCTGTGTGATAAAAGTTCACACGAAACGAGGTCAATGTCTCGATGGTTATAGTCTACTATGCAATTCTTTATAGCATCCGACGCCCACTTATAGAAAAGTTTCTCTGCTCAATGAACATCTATTGTAACTGTTAAGCAGACAGTAACAAAACAGAATGTAACTTAGCGTAAAAAATTAACTTAGAGCATAACAACCCTAAATTTCAATAACATTGTCAAATCTTAAAAACTTTCGAGTCTTACCTTTTAGACGATCAAAATAGGAATTCGCATAGTACCCGTACTTAAAAATATTAAGTCACTTTCTGTATAATATCTAAATATTAATGAGCAAGTAGTGCTAATAATGAATTAACACTTAAAATTATATGGCGTTTACTTTTCTGAAATCTGTACAGGTAAAACATTGAAGTACAGGTGGCCCCAGGCTGTGGGAGAGTCTAAGAAAATCGTTGATTGGTGACGACGTGGCTAGTTTCCCTTCATGCCTCACAAACCGGTTCATGATCCTGAAATGAATAAGTGTTAGAAGAGAATAACCAAGGTCTTTCCGGTTTATTTTAGCTTATAGTTTCTTTCAAGTAAAGTTTCTAATAATCTTCAATATTGAAAAAAATATTAAGAAATTGCTTTAATATTTTATATAAACTGAAATTTAAATAAAATAATTTCTTACTTATTACTTTTTATGAAAGGAAAAAAAAGTATCTATATTTATCGTTAACGCTCTGAATCTCTTTGCTAATAATAATTCTATTGTTTCATTTTTTTAAGTTAAATGAATAGTATAATATATCAAATTCAAAAATTTTTCCATTGCAAACCTTAAAATTTTCTTATCAATACCCAGAAAATAATCTATTATAATCATAATATTGATATATAATTTATCAGATAATTTGATACCTGAAGTGAGAAAAACATTATTTTCAATATAAAAAGCAAGAGCCATGAAATTGAATTTATTATTAATAATAATGATCTTAAAATTCTTTCAAGCAAGAAAATGATCATATAAATGATAAATACATTTAGTTTAATAACTTTCAAATCTTTATATAATAATAATAATTAACAGAATTTTTGTATATA